ATACAAAATGAGGGTGAATAAATCATGACAGCATTTTCATTTTTAGATGAACTGACCCCTTGTGTTGACTTCATGCTATTTGGACAAAGGTAACTATATATAATGTTCATAATGTTTGCCCAAATCGTTGTTCCAAAATGGAAGTTATTACCGGAACAACAAAAATACCCTGTGTATTCAAAGTTGGGAACATTGTGGCTGTGAGCAGATGGGAGTCTTTATACAGCATCCAAGCGCTCTTGAATTCTGTAGATTCTCCAGAGGAAGATTAAAAGCCAGTTCACCCGAAGAATGATAAGTATAACAATAACTATAACCATAACATTTTAAAAATCACTGTAGAGTGCAAATATAATGATAATGACGGGAAATTATATCATTGGGATCACTTACATAGCAGTTATGTTTTTACATCTTACAATAAACAGAGCATTATTGTGTGTTGTGTGGATAATATGCAGCTAATGTAGTTAAGAGTTATTGGTGTGAATGGGCTTTGGGACGATAAATTCAAATTCAAAAGTTTGCATGCCTGTAACTTAAGTATTAAGGATATCTTAATATCATATTTGGATTTTAATTCTTAACAAACTTTTCTTTTGGTATCTTTGTTTTTAAGGCCCTGTATGATGCAGCGATTTTGGAATCTCAGTATGGCTCCAGCAATAAATTGTTAAATTGTATACATTTTCAGTGATCAAAACCCAAATGTGGGTCACTTTGAACTTGAAATGTATCTTGTATAAAAGTTGTAGTATTCTCTAGGCCTCTAGAAAACTGTATTTCTTAACTCAAAACTCCGTAGTCCTCTTAAAGCCTCAGTATTTGTTGAGAAAATAAGTCAGTTCAGTCTCAGGTCAGTGCATCTGGACAGCAGCGGCAAAGACTGAAGCTCGTCTCAAGAGAAATAACAGTCTGAAGGAGAACTGGACTTCTAACACGAGCTGAACTGTCTTTCTGAGCAGCGATATCTTAGAGGAAATACTCTCAGACGGCACTTTGGGAGCAAAACCAGTCTGGCAGTCTGAGAACAGAATATTACATGTCTCTATATTACAGTGTCACGTACAGACTCTTCTATTACTCTTAGTCATAATCACATTACAACATCCACACAAAAACACAAGCATAAGCACAGAGCATAATTAAATTAGCTGTAATGAACCATTATATAATAATAACTTGCATTACTATGAGAAAATGAATGTATAACGATTACAAAATGGGAACATTAATCATGTCGTAGACATGCTAAATGATTACTGTATTATGTGGTATGTAGATGCCCATATTATAGATTGAGACTGAGTCCACACTTCAAAACAGGAAAGTTAGATTCAAGTGTAGTCAGAAGTGTATTGGAGTGTGTGTGTGCTGTGAGCAGGCCTTTGGTCAAAGAGTGTGTGTGATGGTAAATGAAGAGAAGACATGCGTGAACTGGAGTACAACTCTTTGATGAAAGACCAGAGACCAGAGCTGCTTCCCTCAGGACGACCACAGCCATTAATCCAGACAGACCAAGTAAAATCACACACACACACACACACACACACACACACAGTGTTTTATTTGTGCTTTCTCCTAAACGGAATATGAGCACGCTTACTTTTATCCACAATCAAGTTACTGATGCACATTCACTCCAGCCACAGGATTGCAAAATATGAAAAATCGAGACAAAGGATAAGAGTGATACGGCAGACACCTGGAATTCTGGTAAACAAGGGATGGACAGAGGCCTCAGCTTCCCACAAACACTAAACCAACAATGTCATTAGTTAATACTGTATACGTGGTTGATTTTTACAGTATGCAGGACAAGAAGTGCCACTTCTATAACAATTATCAAGTTAAAAGTAAAAAATAAACATTTAAATAAACACTTTACAAACTGACCACTAAATGGTCATATTAAAAATTAAAACACATATCACTTTTAAATTGCATTTAAACATAAATTATTTTTAAATAGTTTATTTATTGTTACATTTGTGAAGTGAATTATTTACATTTTTTATTTCATATCAAATTAAAACATTTTAAAGATCCTATCAAATTAAAATAGGAGTTGTGTGTCTTAAGTCCTTGTCTATTAGCTTTAGGCCATCTACTGTGTGCTGTGTGACTACAATTTACAGTCTTTCTCTTACTGATAACTCAAATTGCAATAATTTTCCCCACTTAATTCACTGTTTTGCATTAGCAGTTTTTTAGGTAGCATTAGCAACGCTGTTCTTCATGCTCACCCCAACGGTCAGCACGATCGTCTTTGCGTTTTATGTAAATTACAGCGATATTACTGAGAGCGGTCTTCACAATTCATTCATTCTCTTACCTGCCCAACACAAATGCAGCAATTTGTCATCAAAAACTCAGGTTTTCTCCGTCATCAAATCTTTCCGCCTTGTATGTGCTGTAGTTCCATTTACGTTCATTTTTTTCTTTGTCACACTCTGTTATCTCCGCTGGTAAAGCACAATAACTCTTTGCCATTTAGTGAAACACCTCGAGAAAAAAGAAAAAGGAAACTATTGAGTACAGTCTTCATATTATATGAGTTACACCATTCAGATGGCTCTTCACACAAACACTATTTTGTATTGCTTTAAATTAGCACTTTTGAACGCACATTTAATGAGGCAAAACAGATAATTATAACCATTAGACAACCTAACCCTTCAGAACTTTCACCAATATGGTAAACACTATAGCACATCACAGGGCTTTTTACGGCATTCTCCAGACCCAGTTTTAGGAAAATGTGTCAGGACATCTTTATACCTGTGAATACGCTGATTCAGATCAAGCTGTGCAGAGCAGAGATCTGAAAATCACTGCTGGACAGATCTGACAACCCCCCCTGCTGTCCTGTCCAGACCAGTATGCTTTTGGGAAAGCTCATTGTGTACTGTGTGTGTGTTCAGAATGTTGCCTCATGGTTGTGACTCATGACAAATTTGCAGTGGTGGAAAGAGTACTGAAAATTTGTACTTAAGTACAAGTACTGTTACATTGCTGAAATAATACTCAATTACAAGTAAAAGTACTGGTGAAAAAGTACAAAGTACTCCTCTCAAAAACTACTCAGAGTACTAGTTACTTTTTAGCCGGCGATATTTAATGAATTACCAAAAAATATTCATATCAATGTGGATCTATGTGGATAATAGCTACTTTGAACAAAACCATCTTATTGACAAAGTACGTGAATTAGTGGTCATGATACAGGAATTTCTAACTTCAATACCTTGAAAAATATCAGTATTAAAGTACCCGTGAACCGGAAGTTGCAACTGACTTCAGTGTTGTGATGTATTTGCAAGTGAAACGGAATATTGAATAAAGGGCAGGGTTTTATTGTGGTGCACCTCCACTCCACCTCTTGCTACTCTCTTTGCAGAACACCCAATCCCTGTTCCCTGCATCTCCCTCCTGCATAATCTGTTTTTCTTTTTCTCCTTGTAGCTGGAAATCAGCTCACAGACAATTATATATATATTTTTTAATAATTCCAGTCTTGCTCGAGAACGCCGGTCTGACGAACGCGGGTTCATGCATTATTTCCTTATCACTTCTCGCGTGTTTTGTTGTGAAACGTAGTTTGCGGACCAGACAGAGTTGTTGGCGATTCTTCCTATTGTAAAGTCATGCGGTGTGTAACCTCCTGTCACCGATCCATCGTGCAATGTGAACACAGCAGCGACTGACTGCTACCTCAGATAGTCGTGCAGTGTGAAAACCACGGTGCCCCGACGACTTTGAAAATCGTGCAGTGTGAACTCGGCATAGGCAGACTAGGATATTTATATGTACAAATCAGACAAATATCCCATTCCAAAACATTTCTAGCATAAACTTATTGTAAAGAAATTAAAGTTCCATCTTTGATGTGGATCTATTCTGATAACTTTTGACAAAGTTTAATCCAGCAAAAGAGAAATAATTTCTACTTTAAAAGCACGGAGAGATCGCGATTGCACACAGTCTGAGTGCGCACAAGCAATATCGGAGTGAGAGGACATGCAGTTCATTTGTATAAGTTAGGCCAATTTGAGAGCTCGCATCCAGTTTTCTGCGATTACATGACTGTGTTCTCATGTAACAATAAAGCGCTCGCCACATTTGTGCGGGAATGATTAAAATTATGCGAAATACCTGCAATCCCGCTCGGACATTGAGACTCTGTAATTGACAGGAGGCGGATGCGTGTCAAACTCGCTGTCGGAGAGCAAAGAGAGACGCAGCTTGTATCGGTGTATATTCGGTAGATACTGTGGAAAATGAGTAATGGGACCATGTCAGCTATTTCAATATCGGTATCAAAATATAGATATTTATGATAACACTACCATGTAGTTTGTTTCTCCAAACTTTGAGTCCATAAAATACACTGAGCTCCCTCACTCTCTAATCAGCTCTTCAAAACCTGCTGCAGCGGCGGCTTTTCCCGGTTCAGATATCAGGGCTTTTATTGGTCCCTTCACGATCGGATATCTTTGTTGGCTACTGAAGTGCCATCAAAGGTTTAAATATCAATTCAGATTGTGGGCGTACTCAGTAACGAACTATGATTTAAAAGTAACGAAGTAGATTATTTTGCTTAATTTGTATTTAAGTACAAGTAAACGCACAGCTTTAAAAATACACTTAAAAAAGTACAAGTACCCGAAAAAAACTACTTAATTACAGTAACGTGAGTAGTTGTAATTCGTTACCTCCACCACTGCAAATTTGTAAAATGAAAAATGACTGATTTAATCTAAACCTTTGTTTTTATATCATTTGAAGATGTCTCAGAGAATACTTGGGCTTTGGCACTTTTTAATTAGCTACAGGGTTGTATGTTATAGGCAAGTCTTTTGAAATGCTAGTTTACATCCCTAAAATGAAATGTCTTGCATGGGTGACTTAAATTTTCAGAATATTTTAACAGGTTTTGTTAAGAAAATCTTTAGCAAAGTTTGTCTTAACACCTCTTTCTTTTCGTCCTCCAATCACAGCGGAGATGGACCATGCTCAGAGAGTACCGGAGGCGGAGCCTGTCCAGCCGCAGGTAAAACTAAAGGACAGGCAAAAGTTTTTTGAGGAGGCTTTTCAGCAGGACATGGAGCACTACCTGTCTACAGGATACCTACAGATCGCGGAGAGAAGAGGTGAGCTATGCCCATGCCCTCGGCTCAAACCAGGACCAGATCAAAATTTGCCAGACACTAATACAAACAGAATCTATTTAACAAAAAGCTAATGTAAATATGCTGTATCCCTGTGAATAATTTAACTAACCTTTTTATACAGTATATATATGAGAAATGTCTGCTGAGATGGTCTGGTACAAAAACACTCAGCAGTCGTTATTACAAATAAGAGTGGCGGGTCCACAGCACCCAAGATATTGGATTGGGGTGGCAATTCCCAGCCCTGAAGCAGATAAACTGAGTGTTGCTTTCATCTTCCACCCGGTCAATTCGTATAAAATGACTCATGGTGTATGGGAATGTGCAAAAGAGCAGCTGAAGAGAGTTGTTGTGGAACAGCAAGTCCAATGGGTAATGCTGACCCAATAGTAGATAAACTACACCGAAGCAGCTAATGGAAGAATAGTGAGGCAGAGCTAAGATCAGTCAGAGGGCGGGGCTAGAAAAACCCTTCAGTTCTGCTTATGCTCACAACTAACCAGTAAAACTCTTTTCATGTAATCTTAATGTTTTGTTGTGTCAGAATTAAAACTGATAAAAACACAAATACTTTGCAAGTTTTGGAGCTCTGTTTTCAATTCCTTCTCCGAGTGCAAGTGTCAAATCTCATCAGTAAATAGGTATGTTTGACTTGAAGCAGCGAAGGTGGGGCTAAGACCAGCCAGTGATTCATTGCTGTTATGTACAGCAAGGTGGGAATATACCAATCCTCTATGAATCTTTAGGAAAAATCAAGAACAGGATAGTTTTGGAGTATGGACTGAAATTGTGTTGTGTCATTTCTCTCAAAGCACACACACACACAGACACTGAGTGTATGAGTGTGTGGTTGTGTTTGTGTCTCAATACTGTAAAGGGGAGCTAACATGTCTCTCTCTTTGCTGTCCACCTCCCTGTGCCGCTGCGCTCTTACACAACCTTGAGGTACGCAGTTCACCGCTCTGCTTACTGATGTCACGCTCACACACGCACATGTGACGGGCATGCCTCACGCCGCAATCTGTGTTTGTGAAGCATGCGCTAATGACAACAAAGAGTCAACATAACTGCAAGGTGACGAATCCAGGACATAGCTCTGTACATCAAATGAGATCTGACACAAGCAAATTTGCTCTTCTATTTGGCAAGAGTTGAGCCAAGAACTCACATGAAGGATTTCTTTGTCCACAGAGATGCGAACTCCATGTGTTGAAACGATCATCCTGGACTCAAATCCTTGATACATCTTAGTGATTGAAGTATGAGGTTGCAGGAAGTGATGTCGTTGCTCTTCCTTTGGTTCACAGAGACAATAGGAAGCATGTCATCAATGGAGGTGAACGTGGACATGCTGGAGCAAATGGACCTAATGGACATGTCTGACCATGAGGCATTGGACGTCTTTCTCAACTCTGGTGGCGAGGACAACAGTGTGGCTTCACCGTTACTTGGTATACATACATATAGTGACATTTTCCAACCATCAATCAATATTTTTACCCTCTATAGGTGCTTCTGCTTTGTCGTGTGCCATTAACCACTCTTAGCTAGTGATGAAAGTGGCTTCCTGGTATGGCATCCCTCCTTATGTTTAAAGAACTCTTTAGCTCCACTAATGCTGAGATGCTATTAAATTAGAGCCAACATTTAGCTCCGCCGTCAGCAGAACACGCTGAGATGATGTCTGTGCTGTTTGATTGCATCCAGAGAAGAACAAACAGGTTCTAATCAGTAATTACATTGAGCTGCACCGAAAGCCAAGTTCTCTGGATTATACAGGCAACATCAGGACACTGGACTTCCTGTTCCAAAATCAAGTGCACTGCCTCACTGTCTAGTCTACATAAGCAGCTACCTATGAATGCAGCCTAACTGAATTTAAAATGGAATCTGATATGATATGCAATACATTCCACTAGAGGTTAATGCTAGCATGTTGCATGTTGCTAGCATGATTTTTTATTCTGTATTTTGATGCATTGAAGTGTAACAGAAAAAGACTGAATGTAGGTTGGGGACTTGGTTGGACTTCGGATGTCGATTGGATGTTGAGATGTGGGAGTGTCACTCAAAAGTGGCGGCAAATTTTCCCCAAAATCCTGTAAAGTTTCCGAAAGTTTCAGAAATTTTCCACCCCTTAGCAACCCTACTCTCATGCCATCCAATATGTAGGTGAGTTTGTTTCTTCTCAGAACAGAATTGGAAAAATATTGCATTACATCACTTGCTCACCAGTAGGGTTGGGTATCGAAAACCAAATTCCAAATTTCCAATAACCGGGTATTCGATAAGACGCGTGTATTTCGATTCTGCTTAACGATTCCTGTGTTCGCATTTTAATGTGATTAAAAACGATTTAAGTGCAGGAACGGAAAGAACTTGCGCCCTGTTTGCGTGCAGCGAGCACAGAGAACAGAGGTCGCGGTACGGGTTCCCGGTTTGTGTCCGTTCCCGAACCGTTCCGTGTATTTCCACTGCAGAAAAGGTTGTTCAGGGCCGAAACTGACTTCTTTCATATTTGTCGACCAATATGCAGAAAACTACGTCAGTATATCATCATAAACACAGCCGTTTTTGTCTTACGTGAACATAAACAGATGAGAAAGAAAACACACATGTACAGTATTTTTAGATCTGCGTGCGTTCGGTGTTAAAGAGACAGCAGCCTAATAAACGCGCTGCCTGTCATTAAAGGGGTCATATGATGCTATTTTAAAGATAGCATAAACATTGCCACTTATTGGAATCAAAACTAGGAATCGATAAGAATCAGAATCGATAAAATTCAAACGATACCCAACCCTACTCACCAGTGGATCATCTGCAGTGAATGGGTGCCGTCAGAATGAGAGTCCAAACAGCTGATAAAAACATCTCAGTAGTCCACAAGTAATCCACACCACTCCAGTCCATCAATTCATTTTTGGGATCTGAGTAAGGGGTGTTTCATTGTTACACTATTGCCCACAAAATTTCACGAAGGTTGTGGTCCCATTAGCTTAATTTAGATGAAAATTTGGGGACAAAAATGATCAATTTTTCATTGTCAATAGTGTAGTGATGCATGAAGCACAACTCACATAGAAGTGACTTTCAAACTAAGCAGCTTTCTGTTGGTCAGCACAGTGATTTTGCATCTGTGTGGAGATTCTTTATGTGAAACTCCACATTGTGTGGATTCCTATTGAAATGACTGGAATTAGCCCACAAAATTTTGCAGAGCAACAGTACATTACAACGCAGCTGTAGGCAGCTTACTAGGTTTTGGAACAGAACTCCAGTAACCTGAACATTGCCTGATCAATGTCTGACTTTTCAAGAGAAATTTGCATTCCTGACCCCTTCCCTTCTTCCTGTCTGAATGATTCTCTTTCAGGTCCGGACGTGGAGTCGTTCACCTCTGAGATCACTCTTCAGGTGCCCACACAGGCCGACCTGAGACACAAGCTGGCATCGTTGTCCTCCACCTGCACGGACTCAGCCAGCCAGGACACGGAGGCGGGGGAAGAGGAGGACGACCATGATGATGATGCAGATGATGAGAGGGGACCAGCAGCCATCCGCGGCTCTCCACTCATCCAGCCAGATCAGGAAGAGGTCGAGGCAGATGCCACGTTACCCGAAAGAGAACAAAACCAGCCAATCAAGAACTGTGAGAGCAGCAGCTCATCCTGAAAACATTTTCTAATTCTATTCCTTTCACTCTACAAACTAGTTTGATCAGTTTCATATCTTGTAAATCCAGATCTAGAGTATTCCCAGATGGTTTTAGATCACAAATGTTCAAAAATGTATTCAAGTGTGACGTTTATGTCATGAGGTACGTGTCTGTCTCATGTATAGAATCGATAATGCTTTAGAGGCCTCTGACTCACCAGAGTATGACTTTGATAATTATGATGAAAACACCATAATTTAGGCTCTGAGCCAAGCTTCAGTACTTCACATTGCAAGCATGTTTCTACACCTGGGAAAACAATGTGGAGATGCAGGAGTAAAATTAATTTAAAATCAGTGGAAGTAGATATTTAACTGGTAAAATATGAATAAAAAAAAAGATTATTCTGTGTACTTTTCACAAAGTTGTCTAATTGGTCTAGCACAAGGATTTGACACCAGGGGTCCGTAGAGAGTCTGTAGAGTGACAATTGTTTTTGTTGTTGTTATTACTACTACAGTAATAACAACAACAAAAACAATTGTCACTCTACAGTACTAGGTCATGATCAGGGTTATTTATATAGCAAAATTTAGAGAACATCTATTAGTACTAAAGAGTATAATAGTTGAATAAAAACTCACTGAAGTATTTTTTAGAACAAGAATTACTATTACTAAATTTAGTAAACCTATAAAATTAAAATTTCAAAAACACAAGTATTATTTTTAAACATTTAAATATTTTTCAAAATGATTCGTAAAAAAGTATTTTTTTAATAACATTAATTACTTATAACATGAACATTTTAAAGACAGGTATTATTATTTTTTAAATTATTTAAATTATATCAATTATTATAGTAGTACTACAAACACGATTAATACTACTACAGATACAAGCATAAAAAAATAATGACATATTTTAAAGACATATTATTACAATTATTATTATTTCAAAATGTATATTTAACTGTGATTAACCTGCAATTCATTAATAACATTAATAAAAATTAATGATTGCTTCTATTACCCTCATTTGTAAGTCGCTTTGGATAAAAGCGTCTTCTAAATGATTAAATGTAAATGTATAAATTATACAGTAAATTTTATGAAGTTGTACCAAGGCCATCTGAGAGTGTGGGGGTCCATGTGTCAGAAAAGATTCCCTTGTTCAACACATTCCCCTTTAAACCAAAATAAAGTTCAGTAACAAAGAGCACAGACTGACAGTGAATTGTCCATGAGTTTTTATTAAACCTTAAGTACAAATTGAAAAAAAGTAAATAAAAAACAAAACAAAAAACAAAATAAAACAGGCAATATAACCAACATGAAAGACAGTGCTAATAAATTAACTTGCCTGACCATGAGCAAATCTCTCATATTGTAGAAAAAGGAACAAAAACAACAAAAAATTCTGAATAAAATACATCGTAAGGCCATAAAAACTTGACAACCGCCGTTTTTTTTTTTATATAATTTTTTTGTTTTGTTTGTTGAAAACACCCGATTTGGTTTTCATTAAATACTCCTAAAACAGTTCAGTCTTCTGTCCAGGGCAACCACCAACAAACTGGATTATAGTTTTTTTTTTTTTTTTCCTTGACAGTCACCACTGGCAAGCTCAGTGCAACATGAGTAGCTACTATGCTGAATTTTCAGTAATGAAAATGTAAAAACCTTTTTTTGTGAAAGTATTTTTTCCCTTTTCTTTAAAAAATTAAACCTAAAAAACAAAACTAGGGGGAAATCGCGACTCCGTATCTTAGTCCTCAGTGATGTAAGCAGCACTTAAAATTTATACACATTACCAGAGCAACCCTGTACGCATCAAACTCCCACAGCTGAAGAAACTGAAATGTAAGGCTTTTCTTCATCTGACATCATCCATCTATCTGTCCTTTCCTTCTGTCACTCCAACAAAGGCTCAAGTATTAAAGACATTTACAAGATTATGTACAAAAAGGTGATTTTCTTAAGTTTCTTTAAAACAATGATACTTCTGCAAAAAGGAAAAGACAGAACAAAATAAAACAATAACAATAAAGAAAAAAATGGACTTGTATTTCACATTTTACACCCTCTGAATAGTGGCTCTAACTCGACATAGCACAGAACAAAAGAGAAAATAAAAAGTCAAAAACACAAAATATAATAATTACAATAATATAATATAATAATTAATGTTAACTGTTACAGATGAATCAATAAGTCTGGAAGAATGGAATGTTGACACGATTGCACATCTAGAAGCAGAAAAAGCCTCTGGCTTCTTCCATCCTGTGGGATAAGAAGTCTAGCGAACAGCACTGCTTTTTATTACCTTTTTTTGTATTGATATACAGAAAAAAAAAAACAGCACCAAAATAAAGAAAGATCTCCCCGCTAAACATCAGGCACAGTTATCGCTCGTAAGCGTCAGCGTGGGAGGAACCCCTCTCACTGCCGGGACGGGACCCACTCATTCAATCCCTAACACCCACTTCCTCAAGTACAGCCTGACCCGCTGCCAGAGAAACCAACGTTCCCCCGAATCCACAGAGGAAAGTGTGAAATTAAAACCAGTCGAAATAAAAACAAACAGTACTTCCTCTTTAAAAAAAAAAAACGATATTAAAACAAGCAAAATTTCAAGTGTTTACTGTCTTTAGAGCTGCGTCTTCCGCAGAGGAGCTGCATGGGGACTAAATGAATTCAAATCAAAACAAATGTGATGTCATAAAACAAAATGAAACAAAACAAACTAAAACACACACACACAAAAACACAACAAAACCAAAACAAAACAAAATGCAACAAAAAACAAAGCAAACACCCAAACAAAATGAAACAATAAACAAAAAGCAAAAAAACAAAAACAACTAAACTAAACAAAAAAAGCAAACAACAAAACAAAACCAAAATGAAACAATGAACAAAAAAACAAAAAAACAAAGCAAACACCAAAACAAAAACAAAATGAAAGAATAAACAAAACAAAAACAAAAACACCAAAACCCAAAATAAAACAAAAAGCAAAGCAAACAGCAAAACAAAACCCAAATGAAACAATGAACATAAACCAAATAGAACAAAACGTTCTCGGGCAGCTCCATCGAGCACCAACATTCAAAGGAAAGGGGCCTGGAAAAACCAGGAGAGAAGCACCCATTTGTCCCAAGGTTCACAGTTCAGGAGGAGCATGTGTGTGCAGTCATGGGGGCCAAAGACAAGGAGGAAGAGGGTTCAGGCAGAAAGGATGACATCATACTCACACCTGTCAGTGATATGCACACCTGGGACCATGTCTCTTAATGCTATCAAACATCTGGTGAATACAAACTAGTGCGCTAGTGCAAAAAAGGCAGCCTCCTTTCAACACAGGAAACTCTGCCCTGCTATGTGGGTGATAAAAGACACAAATTATATGAAGAGAGGGAGAGGAAATCGATTGGCTGACGTAGGCGGCCGGGCGGCGTTTCTCACGAGACAGCAGCGGCGGCGGCACTTTTGGACAGATGGGTCAGGGACAGCTCCACAGTGGATCTCTTGCGGGGGCCGCGCTTGGCGGGCGGTTTGGTGGGGCTGGAGCCATTACAGCCATTAGCCATGCTTCTCACCAGGGCTTTACCACACACCTGATTCACCAAACTGTTGATCTGCTCCTGAGGGGCCAAACAGAGACAAAGACAGGGAGAGACCATTGTGAAAAAGGTGACATGACATACTTTGGTACTTTAGTTCTTGTCAATCCCTTTGGCTCATTTATTGAAACAGTCTCAGAATTCAAACTGTGAATGCAATTGCCAAAAGTAGTAACCCAAAACAATTAACAAAATGAAAGAATAAACAAAACAAAACCAAAAAAACAAAAACACCAAAACCCAAAATAAAACAAAAAGCAAAGCAAACAGCAAAACAAAACCCAAATGAAACAATGAACATAAACCAAATAGAACAAAACGTTCTCGGGCAGCTCCATCGAGCACCAACATTCAAAGGAAAGGGGCCTGGAAAAACCAGGAGAGAAGCACCCATTTGTCCCAAGGTTCACAGTTCAGGAGGAGCATGTGTGTGCAGTCATGGGGGCCAAAGACAAGGAGGAAGAGGGTTCAGGCAGAAAGGATGACATCATACTCACACCTGTCAGTGATATGCACACCTGGGACCATGTCTCTTAATGCTATCAAACATCTGGTGAATACAAACTAGTGCGCTAGTGCAAAAAAGGCAGCCTCCTTTCAACACAGGAAACTCTGCCCTGCTATGTGGGTGATAAAAGACACAAATTATATGAAGAGAGGGAGAGGAAATCGATTGGCTGACGTAGGCGGCCGGGCGGCGTTTCTCACGAGACAGCAGCGGCGGCGGCACTTTTGGACAGATGGGTCAGGGACAGCTCCACAGTGGATCTCTTGCGGGGGCCGCGCTTGGCGGGCGGTTTGGTGGGGCTGGAGCCATTACAGCCATTAGCCATGCTTCTCACCAGGGCTTTACCACACACCTGATTCACCAAACTGTTGATCTGCTCCTGAGGGGCCAAACAGAGACAAAGACAGGGAGAGACCATTGTGAAAAAGGTGACATGACATACTTTGGTACTGCAGTTCTTGTCAATCCCTTTGGCTCATTTATTGAAACAGTCTCAGAATTCAAACTGTGAATGCAATTGCCAAAAGTAGTAACCCAAAACAATTCATTTATGCTTCAAAACCCAGTTATTTTGTCAGTAAAAGAACCTTTTTTTTTTCATTGTGTGAGATGTACTGATCAAAATGTTGAGTTTCAGTTAACACTGGAAATATTTTTATATATTAAAAAAATTCATTTTTGTTCTACTTTATTGTATATACTTACACTAAGTTTGAAACAATGTTTTTGAAAGAAGTCTCTTATGCACACCAAGACTGCCTTTATTTGATTAAAAATGCAGTACAAACAGTAATATTGTGAAATGTTATTCAAAATAACTGTTTTCTATTTGAATATATTTTTAAAATGTAATTTATTCCTGTGATGCAAAGCTGAATTTTCAGCATCATTACTCCAGTCTTCAGTGTCACATGATCCTTCAGAAATCATTCAAATATACTGATTCGGTGTTTCATTGTATTGATTATTAATGGTGCTCAGTTAATTAGTTTTTTATTATCAATGTTTTTGCTACTTAACATTTTTGTGGAAACTGTGACACGTTTTTTAGGATTCGTGGATAAACTGAAAGTTCACAAGAACAGCATTTATTTGAAATAGAAATCTTTTCATTTGAGAATTGAACAAAAGCAAATGACAAAAACTGTAAAACAACACTGAATCCACATAAACGCATTTGCATGTGGACATATGTTTCCCAAACGTTTATTACTTTGCCAGAGCGCAATATTTTATGAAGGGACAGCAACAGTCCATTTAGGAGGGTTGATGAACCCCGGAGGGTCCTTTAAGCAGAAGCGTCTCAACAGCTCCCCCTGCAGGCATGTTTCTGATCATGTGTGTTTACCTCATCATAGCGGTACATCATCTTGAGGCCGCGGCTGCTTTTGTGTTTCTCCACGTAGTGCAGCGCACACTCCAGACAGAACACCACATTTTCATTCTCCTGCACTACCTGCAGCATTAACAACAACCATTAGCTCAATTAAAATCATTTCATCGCTCTGTAATTCTTGTGTCAGTGATGACTGAATGTGAATTATCAGCACTGGAGGTAAATTACAGCTGTGACCCAAATCTAGAACTGTGTAGAACACAGTGACAATAAAAGACACACACTGACAAACGCACACTGACAAAACTACTATGAAAATCAGTGTTTTACTAATAAAAAAGGACATTAAATAACACTGTAGAATAGATTAAAAAAGTTAATACATATACTGTAGGCGTTATTGTGATTTGTAGTATAGTACAGTATTGTATAGATCATATACTTTTTTTTTTTAAATTGACAATATATTAAAATATTTCAATAAAATTAGAAGTTAATATATATATAGAAATAGAAAAAAATAGAAGTTTATACATTCAATTCTAGTTAGAGGACCAAGAGGTCCGGTTTCTAGATTTCCTTCCCAGGTCCAGATAATAATTTTTTGGGAACAGTTGTTAATTCAATTATGGGCAGCAGTAATGCTTTGTAAAAGAAAAAAATCCTAAAGAGTCAAAATAGTCATCAAAGATGAGGATATTGGGCCCCCAAAACCAAAGCAGTGGTGTCTGAGAATTTAATCATTGGGTGGGTTTCCAGTGCTCACCTGAGATCTTTGAGAAGAGAAGAGATTGTACTGAGCACAAGTCTGTTTTCTCGTTTGGCCTCGACTGTGGCGATCTGGTAGAGTAGCTTCTCCATAGAGAAGGGTTTTGCTATGTGTCTGTATTTCAGGTCCTGCAAGAGAAGAGCAAACACGCAGAGCGTCTTCTAAACATCTCCTAGTAAACGTCTATAGGTCCCACAGGCGGATGTGGAAATGTGAAAGACTCACCTTAGCAGCCTCGTAGCCCAGGTTCATCCACTGTGGTGTGGCCAAACATGTGGAGCTTCTTCTAAACATCTCCTACTAAATGTCTATAGGTCCAACAGGCGGATGTGGAAATGTGAAAGACTCACCTTAGCAGCCTCGTAGCCCAGGTTCATCCACTGTGGCGTGGCAAAGTGCACAGTTTCAGACACACTGTAGCCACAGCACACCCTGGACACGAATGCACCGGGGAACACCACCACAAACTGCCCGCTCTGCTGGACCGTGCGGTGGACCTTGATCCCCTCACGACAAAGCACCTCTGGAGAAATCTGGAGAAAAGCAGAGACATGCATGTTTATGTTCTGTGTATGCAATGAAATACAACTCCACAAAAAGGTCATACTATTTTTATTTACAATATCTTACCATAATGTTCTTCTCCAGCATTTCCAGTCCCGGCGTGCCGTTGGCCTGTAGCAGTGTGTGCACCACTTTATCAAGCTTTGTCTTTTCCTCAGCAGGAATAGAATACCTGTAATGGGACGGGCAGAACTTCCTGTCAGTGTCATTGTTTGGTTGACATAAGACAACAGTGCAGTCCTAAACCAGCTTTGTTGCCATGGAAACAGGCCTTGGCTGTATTACGATGAGTCATGCACATAAAAAAAAACAAACATAAAACAAACAGCTGACTGGCGTGAGTGGAATGCACAGTGTGTTTTATGGAATACTGCGCCCACTAGAGGAGCTGATCTTTACAACACAGCTGAGTTAGGAAAGACATTAGCAAAATGTACAATTTTACACTGAAATGACATTTAGTCAACAGTGTTACTGTTAACAAACTATTAAAAATTATTTTGGTAATCAAAATAAAGTTGCCAAAACAATAAAATAAAATAAAACTTCAAAATTTGAAGTGTTGCCTTGGCAACTAATTGAAATAAGTTTAAGATGAAGTACTAAAATTACTAAAACTGATAAAAATGACAAAAACACAACCAAATTGCTTAAACTATAAAATGAAAATGAAAACTGAAAACAGAAAAATAAAAACAGATTCAGAATATTTTTAAATAATACTAAAATTACACTGAATGTATCTAAAAATAAATAATAATGAACAAGATTCACTGAACAAAACGCGATTCTATACAAAGGAACAAACTATTTGTACATTTTACAATGTTTTGTTAAAGAAAAGAATAATCTTTTGTTACATTTTTGGACCTTTATATATTTTCATGAAATATATATATATATATATATATATATAATGTTATATATACACAACTCATAATGCAAATTATCAATAATAAAATTTGCCAAATATTTTAATCATTAATTATTCTATATTATTTTATTAGTTTTTTTTTTATTAGTACTTTTTATTTTCAATCAATCAATCAATCAATACTTACTTTTGAATTTATCTTATGTTGTTACATTAATCATCTAACACTCCAATGCTAGTTTATGGGACACATGTTCAATTCAATTATTTAAATTCATCAATTCATTTCTAAATTAATTTCTTGACAGTACCTGGGAACAAAAACTCACCAAATGCAATCAGCACCAGTGTGTAAGTAATCAATGTATGGAAGGCGGTTTTGGTCTTGTGACCAGCATGAGGTAGAAAAGACCATGCCGATGTTCAGCCAGGGAACAGTCACCCCTGTGAGAGAGAAAGAGAAAGAGAGACAGAGAGGGAGTGATGACTTATTCAGCAAAGGAGCTTTACATGATGTGGAGAGAAGTGTACTTCCTGCTACTGACAACAGTAGTGGACTCACCAGGCACAGCACCAAGATGGCGCAGAATGGATCCAGAGTTATTGGGAAGGACATTGAGGTTCCATCCATGCCTGCAGCGACAGAGAGAAAAAGAGAGCTTATAGTAGCATCATTTTTATAAACGGTAATACATCCTCCCATCATGCCTTTAATTCATCTCAAATGAAAGCAGCTCTTACTTGGAGAAGGGTTCGGACTTGCCCACAGGGAAGCCGCTTCCATGTGTGTTTGTGTCCACTTTCCCATAATGCACTGCTACATGGCAGTCCCTCTGCTCCACTATCCGCCAATAATCTTGCTATATAAAGAAAAGCAGGACAGATGTGCGATGAAGAGAGAAGGCATGAAATAAGGAAATATGACAGGATACAAGGATACAACTGTCACAGGATATGCTTATAAAATATGCAACACAAAGTACATGCTATTTAAAGACAATTTGTCATAGAGCAGCTATTATTATACCTAAGAAATGCTGGTCACTAGGGTCAACATTTTACACCAATAATGTAGTAACATATTACACTGTACACATTTACGTCTGGCGAAAGGTTAAAATACAGGAAGTTGTTTGCGTGTACCTCAACTTCAGCAGCCCCAGGCTCTTTGTTGAAGCACATCAGCATAGTATTTCTTGCTATTCTGTAAAAGGTGGTCAAAGATACCGATCTCCCCTGAAAAAAAAAAAACAGTAAACAGTAAGAAAAATGGCAAAATAATCAGTGGCATAAGCTGTTTGTTTGTTTGGCAGCCATCTTGGAAACGGCTGCAGGCAGCTCTCAAAAACAAGCTTACGATAACATAACATCTGTCAAATTATCATTAAGTTCCATCTTATGCTACCATAAATGTGGCTTCTTCTGCTTAAATTAAGGCTAAAACTTGTTTTTTTATGAGTTGGTCGAGGTGATAGACTTGCTTTTTGTCTTCTTTTATTTTAATGGCAGTACTTCTTTTCCGTCTTATAAATAACTATCAAGAGAAGTGTTGCAGTTTTACCCAGTCACTGTTTCACAAGTTGTCCATCACAAATTCTTCTTAAGTGCCACAGCACAACTTGAAAAACGCTCACTCTTCAACCGCATGACAGCACTGATAACTATAGACAGAGACAATTGCCAGGTACCTCACTGGAGATGAACAGAGTGCAGTGTGTGTGTGTGGGGGGGGGGTGAGCTGAGCTGTGACCTATATGCAGGCACCATTCTGTGAAGAGGCCCACTCTCACCATACCGCCCAGCAGAGAGTGTTACCTCAGACAACAACACACAGACAGACATACGGGGTGCTATAAGTGACAGCGGGGTATTTTTATAGGACTGGTGAGGCAGACGGAGTCACCTTACATAGACTATAACTAAGAACTCAGCCTCACATACACCAGGAGCTGAGGGCCTGGGAACAAACCCTCTCACACAACAGCCACTCTCACCGATACCCACCCACCCACAGTCACAGTCCTCTTTACCACTGGTCCTCTTTCAAACACAAGAGCCACACAAACTCTGACCCATTTTTCTGCTTCACTTTTTATATTGGTAATCTATGTTCAACTGCAGCATGTTAACCAAAATTAAACTTCACAAGTGACTGAATTTAAACACTTTTTATGGGCAGCAGACAGGTTGTGCGAAAAGTGCTCTTCACCTGAACCACACACACACACACACACACGTTATTTAATTTCACAGCTGATTCTAAAACAGCCTCATGCTAGCATGCTAAGCTAATAAACTGACATTCTAATAAACACAAATGCATTGCATACATAAATGCTGTGTTTTAAAACAAAATGTGTAAAATGAAAAGTCTCTGCAGATAAATGCACAGAAGAAAAAACGTGCATACACTGCTGAGACTAATTTTAGCCAAAATGGGATCTCAAAGCACTATAATTTAGCTTCAAGTCAGAAGCACGTCTATGATGTCTAAAATATTGCCCAGGCAGGCAGCTCACTAGAGTTTGTAATAGATCTATGGTGTTTTGAACCTTTAAATCTGTCTGAGGAACAAAATAGACACTCATACTGGCAGCTTAGCAGGTCATAGCTCTGAAATGAAACTCAGATCTGTGATGCAGAGCACAGCATAGAGACACAACCATCAACCACTGTAGAGCCAACCTCGGCAGCATTAAAACCCAAAACACATCACGTATTAAGCCTTCCTCTTTTCTTTCCCAGCAGTGTGGCTCTGTGTTCAGTGTACAGGCAAACATTGTCATCACGCTTGAAATTCTGGCACATTCTCTGGCAGCTCAGCGGTGAGCCCTCTATGCTCTCTCTAAACACTTCATTACCTGAGGAAATGGCACATCTGCCAGTCTGAGTGAATATAGTGAATAAAAGAAGTTTGACACA